TCGTCTCCATCTGCCCCGGAAACGTCATGCCCAGGAGCTCTGAGTCAAGACCACCCAGGGAAAACCGCTAGGACGTGGGTGGGTGAAATATCGAGCACCGACTCTAAAGCTCAAGATTGGCACTCTACACGAGGAGGAAATCACGTTTTTGGTACTGGAGGGACCCACCGTGGATATCATCCTGGGACACCCCTGGCTAGTTCTCCATTCTCCAGAGATCAGATGGGACTCGTGTGAGGTGACTCGCTGGAGCGAGCACTGTCACCTCAACTGCCTCACGTCATTACCCACTCCGCTCCCAGGATCTCGCTCAGCTCAAGTTGCATCTACCCTCGTCGAAAGCCCCGAACCTCGGGAGGAGGTCACGGTCCCATATGATTACTTGGCATTCCAGGATGTCTTCAGTAAGCAGGCAGCCACCCAGTTACCACATCATCGGCCATGGGACTGCGCCATCGACTTGCTGCCTGGAGCAAAACTCCCCAAGGGTAGAGTATACCCATTGCCCATCCCGGAGCGCAAGGCGATGGAGGAATACATCAAGGAGGCTCTTAACCAAGGATTCATCCGACCTTCCACTTCTCCAGCTGCTTCTAGTTTCTTCTTCGTGGGCAAGAAGGACGGGGGCTTGCGGCCTTGTCTCGACTATCGGATTCTGAACTCCCATACGGTGAAACTGCCCTATCCACTTCCCCTGGTCCCGGCCGCCCTCGAGGAACTCTGTGGGGCCTGCATATTCTCCAAGCTGGACCTGCGAAGTGCATACAACCTCGTTCGAATCCGGGAGGGTGACGAGTGGAAGGCGGCATTCATTACACCATCTGGCCACTATGAGTACCTTGTAATGCCATATGGGCTAGCCAACGCCCCGTCGGTCTTCCAGGGATTCATAAACGAGGTGTTCCGGGAGTTCCTCCACCGCTCTGTGATTGTCTACGTCGACGATATACTCATTTACTCCCGGAACGTGGCCGACCATCGCCAACACGTTCAGCAGGTCCTACAGAAGCTCTGTCAACACCATCTCTTCTTAAAGCTGGAGAAATGTGAATTCCATCGCCCCACTGTGCATTTCCTGGGTTACATCGTCGGCCAAGAAGGAATTCAGATGGACCAGGGGAAGGTTGATGCAGTCAAGGAGTGTTGTATAATTGCCAAAAGTGGCCCAAATTGTTATTAACTATTTGGGCAATATTTGTTAGGGGTGCTCCGATCAGGGTTTTTGAGGCCTATCACCGATCACAGAAAGCAGTATCTGCCGATACCGATCACCAATACCGATCTTTTTAAAGCCTTCTGTTTATCATTTATAACTATTTATAGTCTCTCCAATCAGAATTTTTAGACATTTATTCAGGGCTTAAATTTCATTTTTGAAAATGGTGGGAATTCCCCTCTTAGGTGTCTCTTGTGAGAGGAGACGCAGCTTTCACACAGGAGTTCGCTACTGATCCGTGGCTGTTTACCACAAACACAACATTTATCCATTACTTTGATTTCACTCACGCTGTTTGTGAAATTACGTCTCAGGTTTTCAAATTACATTATAAGTTATTTAATTAAGGAGTACCTCACCTTCAGCATCTTCAGATATCATTCTAATATGCTGATTTGCTGTTCAAGAAAGATTTTTTATTATTATTATCAACATTTTGATTTTTTTTTTCAGGATTCTTTGCTGATAAAATATTTTATTTAGCAAAGATGCTTTAAATTGATCAAAAGTGATGATAAAAAATGTATAATGTTACAAAAGATTTCTATTTCTGTTTTTTCAGCTCAAGCATTTTGGGACAATTTGGGACACGCACACTAATCCTTATTTAGAATATGATTTAAGACATAGTATGTAAATTGAGATAACAGGATGCAGCAAGAGTTATCATTACTGTCATCTTTATATTTGTTCTTGGTGTGACCGGGCCTTTAGTAAGAATGGGCATTTAGTATAGTTTTTAAATCGGTACAGTATCCTCAATGCAAACTATTATTGGATTAATTTCACATTTGTGTTGTTAATTGAATTTGAGGATTATTAATAAATATTAACACCATGGATGATTGTCCTTTAAGTCAATGTTGTATTTCTTCAGAGACAGAATAATAAAAGTTCAAATATTTGACTAAAGCCAAACTGATTTAAATCTACATTATAGATATAAGTAAGTAAGCTTCTATTTAAAAACAGATTGATCGATTGGATCAGCCTGCTGCTGAACATATACGTCAACATTAGCAAGAAATCCATAAAAAAAAAGGTACTTACGATGATGATCTGGTGGGATAGTGATGAAACCGAAAGATCTGGCCAGTCTCCCTAAAGGTTGTACTAGTGCATAATATGTTGTACGCCATGCCAGATAAGCTTGATTATTATACACTTTAGGGGGCTGTGTACAGCACTGGAAGGTTTTTTGTTATTTTTGGATAAAAATTAATTGCACTGTCAAAGAGGTCTTGACTCATCTGAAACTGAAACGAATTACATGTGTTGGTCTGTCCAGGACAGATAATTTACCACTCAGGTGCCGCTAGGGGCGCTATGTAAAATGTCACTTCCCCTCCTCATGGGATGTTCATTGAACTGCACGGATCAACACAGACCCACTGAAGTGGAAGGCGGAAGGCATGAACTGGTTAGTGAATGGGTCAGGAGAGAAGGATCTTGGTATGAAGATGATGACATGAATAGTGAAGAATGGATGGCGGTAGGGCGGGAAAAAGAGCGGGATCTAGGAAGAAGTCAGGAAGGAGGGAATAGAAACATAAATAACGTAAGCAAAAAAAGGGGTCTGGAGGAAAGTAGTTCCGAGGAAAATGAGCGGACGATTCGGAGGAGATTGGAAAGGGAAGAATTGTAATGAGGAAAGAAGATGAACACATAGGTTTAAGTCCAATTGCACTTACCAAAGATTTAAAGAAGAAGCTGGGAGAGATAGAAATGGCAAAAATCCTTTATGACGGGAATATATTGATCAAATGTAAGACAAAGGAATGAAGCGTTGCATATTGGAAGGGTATGCAAGAAGACTGTAGTGGATAAAAAAGTAATACATGGAAAAACGGGGACACGGGGAGTAATATGGGGTATTCCAGTCGAAGAGGATTTGGACAACATCAAAAAGAATATGCTAGGAGGAATAGTGACGAACGTGAGACGATTAAATAAAACAGTAAATGGAAAACGAGTTGCCAGTTTGTCTGTGTTAATTGACTTTCAAGATGAAAAACTTCCAGAAAGGGTTAAAAATAGGATACATGAGCTACTATGACAGAGAACATGTTCCACCACCTCTTAGGTGTTACAAATGTCAGAGATATGGACATATTGCTGCAGTGTGTAGAGGAAAACAAAGATGTGCAAAGTGTGGGGGAGAGCATAGGTATGAGGAATGTGGGGAAAATGTGAAGGTAGCGTGTTGTAACTGTGGTGGAGATCATAGTGTAACATATGGAGGATGTGAGGTAAGGAAAAGAGCAGTGGAGGTCCAACAAATTAAAACAAAGAGTAATATAAGTTATGCAGAGGCAGTGAAAAGAATTCAAGAAGAAAAAACAAAGGAGGGGGCAGCCAAAGATATAAGAACCCAGGATAGTGTGAGAAACCTAAAAGAGGTATCAATGAACATAGAAAAATTTATTTTGTTCATAGCATATGTTATCAATTGTACTGATCAGGTAAAACAGAAAACAGAGAAAATTAAAGTTATTACAAAAGGTGCTGAGAAATTTTTGTCAGTCAGAAACCTCTCTTGGGAACAGATTACCAGAAGACTTGAGTCGGAAGGA